GAGCAACTTGACATACAGACCATCCCCCAGTACAGCCAAGTGCAGACCATCTCAGACACCTGCACTCAGGCCCATGGTCCTAATCATCCTCTATGCAAACCTGCTGGGTAATGCCACAAGGAACCCAAGAAGGGCTCCCACAGGACATACATTAACATCCCACAGCAGGGGAATGTGATGTGTTTATGAGTAACAGGTTCTGGAGGGGTTGTAGTTCTCATGAGGCAGCTTATCTAACCCTGGACATGCTAAGTATCCTTTAGAAAACTTCCCAGGTTCTTCTTGGAGGCTCCTTCCGGCACACCCGCCTCCCTCCACTTCTCAGACAGTGTCCTGCTTACTTTCTATTGATGTTGTCAACACTATGACCTATAGGGATGTGGGGAGGAAAGGGCTTATTTGGTTTACATGTTACAGCTCATCATCAAGAGAAGGCAAAGCAGGAACATGGAGGTAGAGACTGAAGCAAAGACCATGGAGGAATGCTGCTTACTGGCTTGCTCTCCATGGCTTGCTCAGCTTGTTTCCTTATACAACCCAGGACCACCTGCCTGGGAGTAGCGTTGTCTACAGTGGGCTGGCTCTCCCATGTCAGTCATCAATTAAGAAAATACTGGAGAGGTGGCTCAGCAGTTAAGAGCACTGATTGCTTTCCAGAGGATGCAGGTTCAATTCCTAGCACCCACATGGCTATTCACAGCTGTCTGTAACTCCACTTCTAGAGGGTCTGACTGCTCTTCTAGCTGACTAGGGTACCAGGCACACAAATGGTGCACAGACATACATGCAGACAAAACACCTGATAAATAAAATAAAATGAAAAGGAAAGAAAGTGCCCCCAAACCATGCCCATAGGCTTTTCTGGTGGAGGCAGTTCCCCAGCTGAGGTTCTCTTCTCACAGCCAGCTCTAGTTTATGTCATGTTGGCAAAAAACCCTCTACTGAAATAGGCATTTTATGCATCAAATGGGGTGTTGGGAGGGGTAGAGAGATGGTTCAGCAGTTAAGGGCACTGGCTGCTCTTCTAGAGGACCCAGGTTCAATTCCCAGCACGTATATGTGGTTTACAACCGTTCATGTGACTCCAGTTCTGGGGGATCTAATGCTGTCTACTAACCTCCTTGGGCACCAGGCACACACGTGATACATGTATATATGTGTAGGCAAAACACCCATACACATAGAGTAAACATTCTTTTCAAAAATGGGGTTTTGGTCTTGACCTGTGAGGTATGTTGAATGCTTTGGGGTTGATTTGTGCACTACTGGATTTGAGTTATTCTGGTCATTTCAGGGTTGGCATCAGCCCATGGCTGTGTCCACTTCACAGAGCTTTTCTCTTGTTCCCTTCCAGTTAACAAACACTGCCTCATTTTCTATTCCATTGCTGTTCATAGTTCTGTATCTTTTTCTCTAGAGTTTTTGTTAGAGTGCAAGCAAGTAATCGGATACTTATATATAAAATAAAGATATGAGCATAATAATTATATATGAAAGTTAAAGTTTTAGAGGAGCAGATGGGGCCCGAGGCCGAGCAGTTGCTGCAGAAGCCTGAGGGCTTGAGTTCGGGAAAAGGCGGCCATGTCTGCAGCCCAAGCTGGGGAGAGGAAAGACAGGCAGACCCTTGAAGCTCATTGGCCAGCAAACCCAGGTGAATCCATGAGTTTCAGCTTCAGTGAGAAATCCGGCCTCAAAAGATAAAGTGGTGGACTGGAGGGTTGGCTCAGTGGTTAAGCTCACTTCCTGCTCTTCCAGGGGATCTCAGTTTGGTTCTCAGGACCTACATCCAGGACTCACAGCTGCCAGTAACTTCAGCTCCAGGGAATCCATTGCCCTCTTCTGGCTTCCAGGAGCGCCCATATACACAGGTCATACAGAGACAGAGCGCGCGCGCGCGCGCGCGCGCGCACACACACACACACACACACACACACACACACACACACGATAAAAATAAATATTAAAAAAATTAGGTGGGGTGTGAATGAGGAAGGCTCCTGAATTTAATCGCTGGTCTCCACACATGTATGTGTGCACCTACCCTTACACACATGCATACACGAACGTACAACACCACAGACACATGCAAAAAGAGACCTGGACCGAGTCATTGCTTTTGGCTTCTTTTCATTCAGTGAAAGTGGATAGCTTTATTGTCAGTGTGTAGAGAATTTACCTCATTCTCAATAATTGCATAGGATTTCATTGCAGGTCTGTAGTATAAGTATTCCCTTTGATGATATTTGGACCATTTCCTTTTTTCTTTTTTCTTTCAAATTTACAAACATACTATGTTTTGTAAGAAACATTCATTAGTCAAAAGATAAAAGCATTTTAAATATTAAGTAGTATTGCTAGTTGTTTTCCCCAAAAGGTGGTTTAACTGACCTTTCATGGCAAGGTTTTAAGTGGTTCCCTTATTCCAGTCAGCGTCCTTCAAGATCAGTGCACTTCCGTGGTGTTTCTGTGCCTAGAGTGATAGAAACTGTTGCTATGGTGATGAACTCTGGAGCACTAGTCTGATCATTCTCTCCTTTGAGTGGATTCTTCTTTGTTAATGCTGGAGTGGCTGCTAGCCTGAAGCAGGTGTGATTATTTATCGCAGCAATAAAGGTATTTGAGCAGATAAGACCCCTGGAGCTTCTTTTCATGTCTGGGTGATTGGCTGCTGCCTGCTTAGAGACGTCAGGGATACAGAAGTGTGGCAGGAAAGATCACTGTCAGGAGTCCTGTGTGTTAGATCTGCTGCTGCTTCTGTGATGGATAAGCAGCCACTAGAACTCTATCAAAGATAGTTGTCTGCAGTACGAGGTCTGTATTTCTAATCTCTGCTGTGTATTATGCATGCATCTTGTAGAAAATGCTTAGTATTTCATAAGGTTGTCATTCAGCTCAACTTTTGTTACTACTGTATCTATAGCCCTGGGTAGACATAACTAGACATCTTTAAATCACTAGATTAAGAGAGTTCTTAGGGTTGGGGGAGATATATTAGTGAATAAGCTTAGTTTTAGCATAACTCTGAGGTATCATTTTTCCCTTTAATAAATAATAGTTAAAATTGCAAAAGTGAGCCAGGCAGTGGTGGTACACGCCTTCAGTCCCAGCACTCAAGAGGCTGAGAATTCAAGGCCAGCCTGGTCTACAGAGCGAGCTCCAGGACAGCCAAGGCTACACAAAAAAACTCTGTCTCAAGAAAACAAAAACAAACAAAAAACAAACAAACAAAAAAAAGTAAAAATATATAATTTGATATACTTTCTCTTTAGTTTTTATTTATTGTATGTACGAATGCATGCTTACCGGGCTTGTTGGCGAATGCCTTCAACAGTAAGCTATCTCACAGCCCTGTTTTTAGTTTTAGTTTCTTGAGACAGTTGTCTTACATAGCTCAGGTTTACCTTGAACTTGCTGTGGAGTGGAGGGTGACGTTGAGTGGATCCCATCCTCCATCTGCCTTGGAAGTGCTGGAGTTATGGGTGTGCTGAACCATTACCTAGCTTGGGATGAGTTTTTAAATTTCCGATTTAACTACCTTCTAGATCAAGAGAGAGAACATTGTCATATCATACAGGGTTCCTCTCTGTCCGTGAAAGATGAAAACCACTGTCTTGACTTACTTTGCCTAGTTTGTTTATTTGTTGTTACTTTGCTTTTTTGAGACGGGGTTTTAACTATGTAGCCCAGACTGGTCTCAGACTTGTGGCAGTTCTCCCTTCCCTTCCCTCACCCCTCCAAGTTCTGGGGTTACAGATGTGTGCCACCACACCTGGCTGTTCTGTATGTATGGAATCATCTAGCATGTACTCTTTATGTCTGGATTGTGGTGCCCAACATATCACGAAATTCATTCAGTTTTTATCCAGCACACAGACATTCCTTTTCACTGCCATATAGTATTTCTTTGTTTGCATGCACTATAATTTATCCTCTGTGCTGTGAATAGACACTAAATGTTTCTAGCTTGGTACACACTGTAGGCATCATTCCTGTGCGTGCCTCTTGGGTGTACGTGTGCATTCATTTTGTTAGAGGAGAATTTTCATCATGGGATGTAGTTGTATATTCATTAGAAATCGTTTGTTTTATACTTCTAGATAGTGACTTTTGTGTTTTGTTTCTTACCCAGTGTGCCTGAGAATACAGATCAACCCCCAGAACAAGGCGGATTTCCAAGGCATCTCTCCAGAGCGAGCCTTTGCTGATTTCCTCTTTGCCAGCACCATCCTGCACCTTGTCGTCATGAACTTTGTTGGCTGACCTGCTCCCGTTCCCTTCGAGGTGGAGTTGGAGACGGGCAGAATGTAAGTGACGGTCACAGCCCGTGTCCCGTTGTGTTGATCTTCGCAGTGGAATTAGGTGGGGCTGGTTCTGCTGCTAGTGGATGAGTTCCCATAGTGCTGTGAGGTGTTTGCAGAATTTCCAGGAGGCCCAAAGTTGGTTTTATCAGCATGACCATCAGCCTGTTGTTCTCAACAGTCATATTCTTCGTGTCTGCAGATCATTAAGGTACAGAACATAAGTGTTTGCCTGAACTGAATACAATGAATTTTACTAGTAACTTACAAAAGAAATTAACTCAAAATTTAAAACTTTTATTTTTGTTGTTTTAGACAGGGTTTCTGTATGTAGCCCAGGGCAATCTCAAACTTACAAGCCTCCTGCCTCAGCGTCCTGCTGCTGGGATTACAGGTGGGCACCCAAAGATTTTTGAAGAACGATAATTTGCAGGGTTTGCGTTTAGATTTGTTCTTGAAGTTTTTTTCCAATTTTGATTGTTATTGATGTTAAATGTAGCCATTGTTACCTGATAGGCATTCAGAGTAGTGTGAATGAGTGACAGTTGGTACTCACTAACGTGTGTCTCAAACTTAAATGATAAAGTTGATTAACTTGGGAGAAGATTTGGAACCAGACCATTAGCATTTGGTTCTTTTCCTACATCCCTTGTTGGGCACTGAAGCCATTCCTGCCCCCCAAACAAACTTTACAGAATTCTGATAGAGAAACAGAGGTGGGCCTAGATCCCTCTTGTAGAACTGAAAGTCTTCTCTGCCCTCCCTCCCTTCATAGGTTGTATGACCTCCTCTCCACCCGCTCCTCTTGTCTTAGTTACTTTCCTGTTGCTGGGATAAGACAGCATGGCAAAGGCAACTTGTAGAAGAAAGTGGTATTCATGTTGCAAAAGGTTAGAGTCCATGACTGTAATGGTGGGGAGCAGGGCAGCAGCAGGCAGACAGGCACTGGAGCGGTAGCTGAGAGCTTGCATCTTGAGCCACAAGCATGAAGCAGAGAGCTAACTGGGAATGGGGTGAGCTTTTGAACCTCAAAACCCACTCTCAGTGACACACCTCCTCTAACAAGGCCACACCCCCTAATCCTTCTCAAACAGTTCCACCTCCTGGATGGAAGCATTCAAACATACGGGCCTGTGACCGTTCTCATTCAAACCAGCACAGCTCTGAAGCCGAGTGTAATAAGTACATGGATTTTTTTTTTTCCATACACATATCAGTGTTGTTCCTTTGATGTGAGAAAACGAGCCGGAAGCGTCCAGTAACTTCCCCGGTCGCAGTTATGTGGTTATAGAGTAGTCTCCATCTGCTGATGCTTTGCCTAGTGCTTGTGCAACTCACTGATGAATGTGCTCTTTTCTTTGTCTTGGCGCCATAGCGTTAACCCTGTTGTTTCTAGGTGGTAGGAGAAGAGAACCTTTGAAAATAACCTTTTGGGGGAAAAGATTTTAGGACCAACCTCTTTACGTCACTACATGGGAACCTGTGTTTTTGTACTGTAAGCATCGGAACTCACACAAGGAGCAGCAGAGTGACAGACACATGGCCGAGTACACACAGTGATGTGACAGTCACTGCATTTCGCTCTAGCAGGAACTAGTCATTCCCATGTAATGGCAGTAAATTCGCCTTCAGGACAATTGTTTGTTCAGGTAAAACTTTGACTTTCGGGAGTGGTAACATCTTGGGATGCTTTAGTCCCTGAAAACATTTGAGAACCACTTTATCCTAACCATCCTAATACAGTTTCAATCCTCGGAGACCTGACCTGCTCTCCATCCTTCCTTCATCCCTAGTCAATCAGTGCCTGTTACTGGAATACAAAGGAAAGGAAAATGCCTTTGAAAGTGAACAGTCGAGACCTAAATCTCAAAAAGTGTGGACAAAAACAAAAGAAACGAGCTGGGCAGTGGCGGAGCACGTCTTTAATCCCAGTACTCGGGAGGCAGAGCTAGGCGGATCTCTGTGAGTTCGAGGCCAGCCTGGGCTACCAAGTGAGTCCCAGGAAAGGCGCAAAGCTACACAGAGAAACCCTGTCTCGAAAAACCAAAAAACACAAAACAAAACAAAAGAAATAAAGCTGGTGTCCTAGTTGGGGTTTCTGTTGCTGTGAAGAGACACCATGACTACAGTAACTCTTACAAAGGAAAACATTTAATTAGGACTGGCTTATAGTTTCAGAGGTTTAGTCATTATTGTCATGGCAGTGTGCAGGCAGACATGGTGCTGGAGAAGAAGCTGAGCGTGAGCATCAAGACCTGGTTTGAGCTTCTGAGACCTCAAAGCCCACCCCCCAGTGACACACTTCCTACAAGGCCACACCTAATATGCCACTCCCTGTGAGCCTGTGGGGGCCATTTTCTTTCAAAGCACCACACTGGGATTGTATTTCATTTGGTAGTGTGCCCTGGGTTCAGTACCAGCATTGCACATACTAGACATAGTGGTACATGCCTGTCGTCCCAGCACTCAGGAGGCTAAGGCAGGAGGATTAGAAATTCAGGTTCATCCTCAGCTGCATTCCAGTTGGAGTCAGCCTGAACTACACGGGGCCCTGTCTTAGGTAAGGTAAAGACCTATAAACATATAGTTAGAACTAATGTGATTAGAGTGTTACCAGAGATCAGACAAAATGCTGTGAGACTGAGGAAGGGGTGAGTGTGTGTGCCTGGGAGAAGGAGCTGATGAGAGGATCACAGCTCTTACCAGTTACCAGTTAACGTTGCCATTGGATGCCTTGAGTGTAGCTAGAAAATGGAGCCTCTGATGTGAGTCTTCGGCCTTCTGGAGAGATGTTGGAACAGCTGTGTCTTCTGATTGCCTCACTAGATTTGTGAAGGTGTTTTCTAGATGAGTTACGGTATGTTTTTAGGAAGGGACAGAACACATTTCAAGGGTGTTCTCAAGGCTCAGAAAGGTAGCAGATCATGGAAAATTATTTCTGGCGCTGTCATGATTGGGGGAGGACTTGGCTCCCAAGAACTCAGTATTTCAGAATTATGACAGGACAGGCAGAAAGCAGGCTCAGCAGAACCCGTGCAGCGCACATCATGTTCACAGCCCAGGGCCGCCTGCTCTGCTGGGAATCGTGGGCTCAGAGTCTGGGAATCTTCCAACCCCAGATTGCAGCGTTCAGTCACTGGAGAGCATTGCCTCATAGGAGAGGTGGGAGATGCTCCTCTGGGGACGGCCCAGCACGTTTTCCGGAGATCTTCCATTGACATACACACCCTGCTCCCCACATCCATTTGTCCCAGCTATATATGGCTTTAGTTTAGTTTATGATGCCAAACATGTTAAACATAGTTTCCAAGTGAGGTCTCAGTAGTTAGAGTAACTGGGAAGGTAGGATAACAAAGGAAAAGGAAAACAACCGCTCCATGCTCTGAGAAAACACTTAGGAGCACTGTGGGAGTGACTTCCGTCTTCCTAGGAGCTGAAGTGCGGGGTTACAGGGCAGCACGTTTTTGAGCTAGATCCTCATGTTGCTGCCTAAGGTTCTTATTTTCCAGTTGAGAGCTGCACATTTAAATCTACAATGTAACTGATTTTTAATTAATTTGAAGGTGACATTCAGCCAGCACGAAAGGGCAGATCGAAGAAAATGGCACTGAGCTGTAAAAATCAGTGTGGTTCAGGGGAGCTGGGGAGGAGCAGATGGGGTCCCCCTGGATGTTGTTGTGAGTGTTGGTGCAATGCCATTTTATTTTCCAGTAGCCCCAGAAAGATGACCTCGCCATTCCCGTTTGTAGGTCAGGTACTGAGAGATCCAGAGAGCCTTGTGAGAAATCTTTTGTTGCTTTTGGCTTTAGACAGGGTCCCTTCCAAGGTCACTTCAAACACCCATGTACTGAAGGATGACCTTGTACTCCTGGTCCTCCGCCCTCTGCCTCCCACATGCTGGGATTACAAGTATAAGCATTTCCCAGACCCAATTTCAGATTCCCTTTTTAATTTTTAAAATATTTTTATTTTTAATTATGTATATGTGTATATGTATGTGTGCGTTTGTGCCCGTTAGTATCAAGCCCTGCCCAGTTACCCACCCCAGTCCATTTAGTGCTGCCTACCCCCCCACCCCCCCCATGGGAGTGGAACCACCTGCTGCAGCCTGGGTTACCCACCAGCCTAGATGTTACCCTCTAAGCTCTGCTGCCACCTAGTGGATGCACGCTTCCTTTGCTGAGGGTATTACAACGCATGTGAGTTATATTCTGGTGGAACAACAAAAGCTGGTTCCTTTCCAGTCATAGGAGGGCAGCAGAGGCTCAGGGGAGCTGAATTGCTCACCAGGGGTTGCTTTACATCCTGGCCAGCAGTGGGCAGTGTTGAGCTAGGAATCCTCTGCACCACCCCAGGGGTGTGTTCACAGGATTTCCCTCTTGTCAGCTGCCTTCTTTCTGAACCCTTTATTGCCTCCAGCAGTGAGCTCCTGCTGGCAACAACCTTTAATTTTGTAGTTGATGAGTGAGTGGGTCCTGTAACCTTTTCTTAGTACCTTAGCCTCTCCGGGCTGGAAAGGGAGGTTAATTCTTTATGATTAATCTTAATAGCTAAAAACATTGATTGACTTTTAATTGGTGGCTGAATTCTTCTGGTTGGTTTTTTTAGATGGAGAGAGAGTCAGATGTAGTTAGATTTATGCGTGTGCATGTGTGTGTCTGTGTCTGTGGATGCGTGCATGTGTGTGTGTGTGTGTCTGTGGATGTGGATGTGTGCATGTGGGTGGGTGTGTGTCTGTGTCTGGATGTGGATGTGTGCATGTGTGTGTGTGGATGTGTCTGTGGATGTGTGCATGTGGGGGTGTGTGGGTGTGTGTCTGTGGATGTGTGCATGTGTGGGGGGTGTGTGTGTCTGTGGATGTGGATGTGTGTGGATGTGTCTGTGGATGTGTGCATGTGTGTGTGTGTGTGTGTGTGTGTGTCTCCGTGTGTGCATGTTTGGGGGTGTATGTCTGTGTCTGTGGATGTAGATGTGTGCATGTGGGTGTGGGTGTGTGTGGATGTGGATGTGTGCATGTGGGTGTGGGTGTGTCTGTGGATGCATGCCTGTGTGTGTGTGGGGTGTCTGTGGATGTGTGCCTGTGTGTGTGTGGGGTGTCTGTGGATGTGTGCCTGTGTGGGGGTGTGTGTGTGTCTGTGGATGTGGATGTGTGCCTGTGTGTGGGGGGGTGTGTGTGTCTGTGGTTGTGGATGTGTGCCTGTGTGTGGGGGTGTGGGGGTGTCTGTGTCTGTGGATGTGTGCCTGTGTGTGTGTGTATCTGTGGATGTGTGCAGCTGTGGTACGTGGTTAGAAGACAGCCTATGGGAACCGTTCCTCTCTTTCCACCACATGGCCCTGGGGCTGGAACTCAGGTTTGGGCTTAGCAGGTGTCTTTACCCACTGATCCATCTCATCGGCTCTATTTTTAAATTATTTTAAATTTATTTTCGGTTTTGTTTGAGACAGTCTTGCTCTGTGGCCAAGGCTACCCTTGAACTCATGATCTGCTCCTTGCCTCCTGAGTGTGGGACTACAGGAGGTCACCGCTGTACCCGGCTCATGCGGATCCATGCTAAGACTTCTGTTCCTGTCCTCATCCCCTGGCGACTCCAGCCCTAAGTCACTGTCCCCGCTGGGCTGCACAGGACCCTGCTCCCTGGACTCTTGGGTCCACAGTGCACACCTTGCACATCCCACATTTGTCACGTTGCTTTAAAATTGTCCACTCTTGCTCCTGCCCTGATCTTGATCTGCTCCCGGGTTCCTGAGAAGGGGACCTTAAGGCTGATGACAGGCCTCAGTTTCCCTGCCTGTGCAGTGAGGGGCTTGCTTGGCCTTCATCACAGTTTCTTTCAGCTGTTACTGTTCATTAATGTTGTTTATGATGGCCACTGTGTTTTGTGGACTCCATTGGGCTTTGCGCTCTCTGTCTCTCTTTGTCTCTGTCTCTCTTTGTCTCTCTGTCTCTCTCTCCACTTGTTGCTTTTTATTCATATTCCCACTGTCTGGTCACCGAAGGTGGAACATTAAAGTAGGATTGTTCAAAATAAAACATCCAGTGTTACAGAAGCTACCGTCTATAAGATGTTCTCTTGCTACCACAGTCCCACATTTTTAGGCTTCATGTATCTTCCTTATGCGCCTTTACATCAGTGCATACAGTTTTCTTGCCTGCCCCGTGGTAGGGAGACAGAGAGCTGCGCTTCTGCGTTATACCCAAGGAAACAGCCTTGGTGAATTTCAGTTGACTTTAGTCCTTGGTACTGAGTGACTGGGTGGGCACGCCGTAGTGGACGCTCGGGGCCACTATGTTTTCATGAACACTATGTTTCTCTGTTTTCAAGAACGTTTAAATAATATCATAACATATGATATATATTGTTATAATATATTACATATATGATGTGTATGTTTACTTATATATATAACAATATTATTAGACATGTATACCATATATTACATATATGGTTTTGGTATATATACATATATAGTATATATATTTCCTGTTAGATTGTGTTTGTTAAAATATTACACTTGCTTTCTTTTTTAAATGGGAAAATTGAAGAGACGTTCATAAGAAGAGATAAACACAGAACTTTAGGTGTTTCTGCAAAGTCAGGCATTGTTACTGTGGTACAGGAGAGCTGTCGGAAATGCAGACTGGGAGACTTGATTGACTTCATCCAGTCAGGGCTGACCCTACACTGGCATCTTGTTCTGGGTCTGCACTACCTACAACAGTAGCCACTAGTCAGTGATTGATGTTGGTGGATGGATGTCTGAAAAGGGACTTACCAAGGAACTAAATTTTAATATCCTTACGTTTTATTTTTTTAGACAGGCTTTTCTGAATCCTTGGCTATCCTTGAACTCAATATATAGCCAAGGAAGACCTTGAACTTCTGATCCTGTCTCCACTTCCCAACTGGGATTATAGACAGGTGCCACCGTGTCTGGTTTCATGAATGAAACCCAGGGTTTCATGCATGCCACATAAGTACTCAGCCGACTGAACTGTATCCCCAGCACAACCCATAATTTCACCTTCTTTCAACTGAATTTCAGTAAATCTATGTAGGTCCAGACTACTCGGTTGGAGAGCAGAGCTCTGGATAAACTTTCCAAGCTATCAAGTTCTAGTTTGCCATTTCTAAAACGAGAGGATCAGCCTGTTTATTGATTTCTGGAGTGTCCTTCATTTTTAGAAGTTACGGTCTGGGCCTTGTAACATTAGAGATTCAGACTGAACTCTGCTCTTGGGAGTTTTGCACAGTGGTCTTTGATTTATTTTGCCCCCAGTTTCTGTTTTAATTGGGTGATCAGAATCCAAGGAAAGAGGATTGATGGCAGCTGTCCAGATAGTGTCTGAGTAGAGAGCGTGCTGGGAGGACGCTCATCCCCGGGAGGGGGCTCTGCTCAGTGTCACCATTTCCCCTCTGTAGACGGACGGTGTTCTTCATCATCTCTGCGTCTCACCTTGCGGGTCAGGCTGGGCAGTGGTACAGTTTGCTGCCCGAGTGAAAGGTGGAGTCTCCCGCTCCCTTTCTCAGTTGGTGTCTTCCATTTTGTGTGTCTGACCATCGGGAGGAGGCTCTGTGGCAGGTTTCGATGGCCTTTGCTCTGCTAACAATTGAATGCGCTCTTCTGAGCTGTCCACTGGCCCAGCTGTACTGAGCTAACATTTAGGAATCCTGAGGCCTCTGCTGTTTGAATACTCGCTAAGTACATCTCCTCCAGAAAAGGAGGGATCGGGGTTTCTGGAACCTACTGCAAAGACGCTTTATTTCCCGAGCCCTCTGCCCTCCCCGTGGACTGGCCGAGCGTCGTAGGTTCAAGTGTTAGTATCAGAAGTCCACCCAACCCACGCATCAGCCCAGCCACCTCCGCAGGCATCCCCATTTACCCAAAGTAACTTTCTTTAAGGAAACACGGAGTCACTTCTTCTGAAGACCCTGACCTGTGGTGAGTTTTTGAGAGGTCGTACCTTCTGTCTTGAGGCTGTGGTCCAGCTGGACGTGAGCGCTTGTGAGGAATCTGAGGGCAGGACGTGAGGGCTGATGCAGACGAGGATTGCTAAATTGCAGAGCTGCAGGCCGGTTTCTCCCGCTCCTTGCCCGCTGCCGTTTTTGGTGAGCTTGGATTTTAGGTGTGAGCATTGTCTTTGTAGATACTGCTCTCCACAGTGCTCGTGAGAGCAGTCGGCCTTACTCCGGGGGTTGTAGTCTGGCTGCAGTATTGTATCTCATGCTTGGGGGTGAGGGCCGCAGCTGGGAGTTCCGGTGGAAGCATTTGGGACGGGACGTTTTACCTCTCTGCTTCTGTCTTTCAGGTCCACTCTTTGACGTCCCCTGGATAAGAGTTCTTGAACATTGATTCTTCAGATTGTGCTTAACTGTGACTGACCGGGTATGAGACGGGCGCCCAGAGAACTCCCTTTGCCCCGCCAGACCCGCTTCCCAGTGCGGTCTGTTAACACGACATCTGCCTTCCCCAAGTGTAACCCTTACTTTCCAAATTAAACAGTTTCTCTGCCGCTCCTTGCTGTGCCTCTGACTGCCATTTTTCCTTTTCACACTCGTGTGAAGATGGGTTCCCTGAGCCCCGTGTGCTCACACGCTCCCCTGTGTTGGTAACTCGCAACTGTGACCCTTCACCTTTGTCTTCATTAAGTGGCTGTCATCGAGGTTAGTGACAAAAGACAGTGCTGACAACCTGGGGAATGGCAGGCCTCTGTCCTTTGCCGGGTCAGGCAGGCCTCTACCAATCCGTCGTCGTCTGGAACTGTACCGCCAAGCACTTTGTCAGAAACCGAACTGGGTGTGTGTGTGTGTGTGTGTGTGTGTGTGTGTGTGTGTGTTTTCACAGTCCATCTGTTTCCATGTGCTTCTGGGAAGAGTGAAATGCATCTCTCAGGTGGTATAAGCCGGGTGCCAAGTATGTGTGTGTGTGTTCAAGAGTGTGGGTGTGTGTCTTTGATGGCAGGTAAGTATCTGTGTGTTGTGTGTCTGTGTGACTGTGTGTATGAGAATGTGTGTCTGTGGTGTGTGGCTGTGTCTGTCTGTCTGACTGTGGTGTGTGGCTGTGGCACGCGCACATGTGTGTTGATTCGCATCTCGTGTTTTCCAAAGCTCCCCGCAAGTCTCATTCCCCATGCAGTTGTCTTCAGAGGTCCCAGTCCTCATTAAGGAGGTGAAGAAATGAAGCTCAGATTTGTGCTTGAGATCACGGGTCTTAGTAAAATCTGAGACAACAAAAGAGCTCATTAAGGACAAAGCTTGCTTAGACTATAAGTCTGGTGGCTGAAGTCTAGGCATTGGGTATCAAGTGAGCTCTGCGTCCATCTCAGGAGCCTCAAGTTGGCCAAATGCGGAGCAGCTCTGCGGAGCTCCACGCCAGCTGCTTAGCAGATGAGCTGTGCTGCTGAGGCCCTGCCGTGGGCTGCACACCAGCCTAGCCTGGGGAACTCAGCGCCCCTGGCTGGGTCACACTGGATCCAGGCAGTCTTTGGGGGTCTAACTGCAGTTACCTAGGTGACTTGAAGGTGCGGCCAGCTTAAGGAGGGTTGCTGTTCCATGGGTACTCACTCGTTAGTAGTGCTGACGTCACTCAGGAGCTATTTAAAAAGGAAACTCCCAGGCCTTACCCCCGAGCACAGAAGCAAAGCTTTGTGTTTTAACAAGGTCCCAGGTGATTGGTGTGCACATGGAAGCTTGAGATGCGCCGGTCTGAGCAGTGATTTCCAGCTTTGGGTGTATCTTGAAATTACTTGGGGGCTTGACGAAGTTGGCCTCCATTCTTTATTAGCCCTCTGCTTAACTAGACATCCAAGATTGAGAGAGGTTCTACACAGGGTGGGCAAGCTTTTTAGGGATGGCTGGGTTCAACCTAACGACCAAGACTGGCAGTGGTTCTGTAGGCCAGGGCTTACCACCACGGGAAGAAATTCTCGGTGACTTAAGAGGTCCAGTGTGCCTGACACTCATGCACAGACATCATGTAGCTTTACCAGGAGAGCCGGATGATTTTTAGTTTAGTTTAGTTTGATAAATAGGTATTTCAAATAAGAAAAGTCTTCAGATTTCAAGAAAACGAGTCAGCTGGGAATGAGTAATAACTTTGCCTTTAATACGCACACAGGCTTGCATTTCTCACAATGATTTAGAGCCACGTGGGACAGGTACTGAGCTCCCAAGTACCAGACTTGCTTTTGTCTCAGGGGTTGTGGTGTTCCCAAATTAGCCTTGACGGCGACACATCCCTGGTGTGTGTGTGTGTGTCTCCCGTTTACGACAGTACAAAGCTCTGCAGCTTGCTTTTGGAGTTCAAATTTGAAAATGCACTATCGGTTACTAGGTTGCCGTCGGCTTATTAGCTTGCTCTGCGGGTCCCAATCCCGTGTGCACAGGAAGGTTGGCAGTGGGTTTCTCCTTTGTTAGGGAAATGCCCTGTTCCTCCTTCCCCACAGCTCCGCATCCTGGGGGTTTTGTTTTGCTGACTCAGGTCAGAGCAGGTACATTGAGTCCCATCTTTTGGACGGAGGGATGTCCTCCTGTTTCCTGCTGCTTCTAGCTCACAGCAGCTCTGTGGGGTGGTTTATTTTTCATTTCCTGTGTTCTTTCTGTGGGGCTGCAGGCCATTCACCACAACCACTGTACATTGTCCTTTGCTCTCTGTGGTGAGAGGAAGCACAGCCCTTTGCACCTCCTGCCTACACACTTCCTGTCCCCACCATGGAAATGGCTCTCCTGGTTCCCCTCACAGCAGCCTATACCCTTTGCTCTTTGATCGCATCCTGTAATCTGGGGCTACAAAACACTTTCGTTATGATGGTTGGAAAATACTTGGGGGAGTTAGAGAGACGTGTTCCCTGGTTTGGGAGCCTCAGCTCGTTTCCAGCACCTGGGAGCTTTACATGCTCGCTGTGATCCTGGTGGGTTGTGGCCCTGGGCTCTGCAAGTCTAGACTATTTGAGTGCCCCGTGACTTTAAGGGTTCTGTTGGTGTGATAAAACACCATGACCAAAACAAACAAACAAACAAACAAGCAAACAACAACTTGGCAAGGAAAGGGTTTATGTCAGTTCACAGCTTGTAGTTCATCAGTCGGGCAGGAGCTGATGCCAAGGCCAGGGAGGCCAGCTGCCGACTGGCTTGCTCCTATGCCTTTCTTATAGAGCAGGACCAACCCGCCCCAGGGTGGCGCCACCTACAATGGGTTGGACTTCCCCCTCATCAATTTTAATTAAAATGCCCCACAGGCTGGCCCGCTGGCCAAGCTGAAGGGGGCATTTTCTCAGTTGAGGTCCTGTCTTCCCAGATGGCTCTAGACTGGATCAAATTGACATAAAAACTAGGCAGTACAAGACTATGGCTAATTTTTAAAAGAACATAAAAACGAGTTTTCCTTGGATGTGTGTGATCTTTTTCCTTGAACAGGGACTTGAGTGAAAAAGAAAAACAAACAAACAAACACAACAGAAGAAATCTTATGTCAGACCAGACAAAAATATTTTACTTGCTTAATTTTGAATCTACAGATCCAAGTGCACACAGAACTCTCTTTGGCGTAACGTGGGCAGTCCGGGGTTGTGGCTATGCTGGCGTGATCTGAAGTGCTGAACTGAGCCTGTGTGCTGCCGCATACTGGTTTTTGAACCTTAGTGAGCCCTCTCTCTGCCTCTAAAATGCTGTCAATAATTAACGAGGCACCTGGGCTCTGCTCAGTAGGCCTGGGGCAATAAAGATAAGAACCAGCCTTGCTGTCTGGGCGTGAGGGAGCCAACACGGAGCCCGTGTGTGTCTGGCATGGTATTAAGAGCCCGTGCCCATCTGCTGTGTAAGTTCCATGACCCCACGAGGTCCTAGAATCCCATGAGGAGGGTAGCCTCATTTTTCTGAATGGGGAAATGGAGTCTTGGTTTGCCAGTGTTAGGATGGGAATCTTATTTCTTTCTGACGCAAAGCATTTCCGTTAGGCTTTTGGATGAGCATGGGGGTGGGCACGTCGTGTCCCTGCTCTACAAGTACGTCAGTTCTCATGGGAATGAGCAGAGCTGCTGAGAACTGACGTCATGCTTTTCTCCCCCAGGAGCATGTCCAGCCTACGGGCTCTTGCCAAGCACCTTGCTTGCCGGTGGGAGCAGAGAAGTCTCATCAGGAGACCTGTTCTGGCGTGTGCGTGTGCGTGTGCGTGTGCGTGTGCGTGTGCGTGTGCGTGTGTGTGTGTGTGTGTGTGTGTGTGTGTGTCAACAGCTTGCAGAACTGGTTTTCTTCTACGATGCAGGGTGGAAATCGGTCATCAGGCTTGGAGACGAGCAACTTTATGCCCTGTGCCATCCCGACAGCCGTAGTTTTTGTTTGTTTTTAATTTTTAAAAACAATTGTAAAGATCTTGTTATAAATTAAAAAATTAAAATATTGTATCATTTTTCCCCTGTCCCTTTTCTCCCTCCGACCCCTCCCATGTACCCCATCCCTCTGGCCTCTTTTTCTTTAATTGTTGTGTATATATATATACATACACACACACACACACACACACACACACACACACACACACGTATATGTATACGTATGTGATTCCAGGACTGACCACCGGTATTGGACAGCCAATGGGGGGTCTTTCCTGGGGAAGCCTGGTTCCCCTCTCAGTGTTCCTTAGTTACCTGCCATTCTTTGTCAAGGGGTGGGGCCCATGTGGTTTCCTCCCTCTGTGTTTGCTTGTTTATTTGTTAGCATGTTAATTTTTTAATAATTTATTTTTACATGCACATTTGTATTTTGTTCGTGTGAAAGTGTTAGATTCCCCTGAAACTGGAGGTACAGGCAGTTGTGAGCTGCCATGTGGGTGCTGGGAATTGAACCCAGGTCCTCTGGAAGAGCAGCCATCCCTCCAATCTTGTCCAGCTCTTGTTTGGGCAGCCGTTGATGACACTTCCCGGTGTTTTACATTTCTAGGAAAGCCGACTGTTCCTCTGGTCCTGGACCCCCCACCCCACCCCACCCCACCCCCGCCATGTCCTCAGGCTCAGGTGTAGGATTGTGTTGTAGACGGATCGGCTGTGCTGGCTGCCCCGTGACCACTGTTCTCTGCGCTCTCACGGTGCGGTTTTCTTTCTGTATGTGTGTGTGCGTGCATGCGTGTCTGCGGGTGTGTGAGGGGACATCTTTCCTTCCACCATGTAGGTGCTGGGGTCAAACTCAGGTCACCAGGGTTGACAATAGGTGCCTTTGTACAGAGCCATCTTGCCAGCTTGTCTTTTGTTTTGTCCTTATCACCGAACTTTTGACCCACAGGGCTGGCAAGGTGGCTCAGTGAGTAAAGAGACCTTCTGTGCAATCCTGGTGACCTGAGATTGACCCGCAGAGTCCATGGAGAAGTAGAGAACAGGCTCCACTGAAATTGCCCTCTGACCTTTGCATGTGTACCATGGCCACCCTCTCCACCATGACCACCCTCTCTCTCCACCATGACCACCCTCTCTCTCCACCATGACCACCCTCTCTCTCCACCATGACCACCCTCCCCACCATGACCACCC